TCTTGGGTCCCTCAGAGCGCGCGAGGGGCGTGTCTTGGGCCGGCTGGGCGGAGGTGACTTGGAAGTTCGCCTGTCGGATTGTAACACTCGTCCTTACCGGCGCCCCGCCCCGAGGTTAGGTATGAAAACGCAGGGAGACGTTGGACCCGGAGGGCGAACCCCCAGGGGGATCAAAAACGGTGGCCCTCCGAGTTGGAGCCCAGCGGCGTGGGCACCCGCCGAGTTGGCCTGTCACGAGGACGGAGTTGACACTTTCTCCACGCGGGTGTTCCACTTTTCCTGTCAACTCCCTGTCAGCAATTCCCTGTGAAGGGCGGCATCTTTGTAGGTGACCGCCACCCGTGCTGTTTCCTTCCATTTCTTCGCTCAGTAGTGTGGGTGACGGAGCCTCGTTTCATGTTAGGTGGGCGAGGTCTCCCGGATCCCTTGGGGTGCGCCGTGCTCCGACGAAGCAGTGTGATGGACCCAAGGGGGAGGGACAGTCGGCTGACCGGCCCTGGGGCGGGTGTGAAGGCCCCGAGCAAGGCGACGTTTCAGTGTGGCGAGGAGCGTGAGGGGGCTCGAGGCCACCCTTTACTGGGACACGCAGGAGAGGAGAGACTGCGGAGACAGGGACATTGGAACTGAGCCTCCAAGGATGGGAAGGGGTTGGACCAGGAAATGCAGCCAAGGACCAAGGAACTGGTCTGAGGCAGCAAAGAGGCGAGGCACACTAAGGACGGTTTGTACAGAGCTTTGGCCACCACAGGCTTTGGTTGAGGGGAGGGCGTACATTACCTGACAGGAGTTTGGGCCTAGAGGACATTGATGAGTGTACGTTTTATTTTTATTTATTTATTAAAGTAAGAGAAACATTTAAAATTATTTTATTTGACTATTCATTTTAATTTGACCAAAGAGTGAGAGAGGGAAAGTGAGAAAGCAAGCCGCCAGGTCTGGGACTTGAACCACTGTCAGCCATGTGGGAGTCCAGCACCCTTAACCACCACGCCACCTGCCAGCCCCAGGAGTGTGGATTTTATTTTATCTTGTTGGAGTGGAAAGCCATCAGAGAGGAAAGACCTCTACATAATCTTGGGAGAGGTCCTTGACCCATTTATGTTGTAGTTTCTTTCTTTTTAAGAACTGTTTTATTTAACTTTATTTATTTATTTTTAATTTGACCTGAGAGGGACAGAATGAGTGAGAGAGAGAGAGAGAGAGAGAAAGAAAGCAAGCTGCTAGGTCCAGGACTCGAACTGGGTAGGACTCTTAACCATGTGGGAGTCCACCATCCTTAACCACCATGCCACCTGCCAGCCCCTGTTGTGGTTTCTTTATCTGAAAAAAGTGGAAGATAATAATACCCACTTTACAGGGTTCTTGTGAAGATTAAATGAGCAGTCAGTAAGAATAGTGTGGGCCAGCAGGTGGTGAGTGTGGTTAAGGCGCTGAACTCACATGGTCAATGTTGGGGTCGGAGTCCTGGACCCTATGGGTTGACTCACGCTGGGCACCTTTTTGCCCAAAAACCTGAGAGGAAAAAGAAGGAGAAGGGATTTCGGGTATGGCCATCCCCCCTGCGGTGATTTCTCACTTTCCCTCTCTCTCTTTGTCTCTCTAGCAAGCCCCTGTGCCCTATGGCAAAACAAAAAGAGAAAGGAAGGAAGGAAGGAAGGGAGAAAGAAAAGAGGGAGAGAACAGTGTTTGACATATATTTCAGTGTTATGAGTCTTTGCAGTATAGTGTCATAACACTGAAGTGGTCTGGTAAAATGTGAAAAGCAATGGCTTTGCAGTCAGAAGCACACTTATTCCTATCTATTTACCTGTTGTGTTATATGAGCAGATTATTTAATATTGTTAGCATCAGTTTCCTAAATGCTTGCTACATATAGCCACCACACTTGACACAACACAGGCATGGTATGTATCAGCAAAGCAATGTTTTTCAAATTGCAAGTTGGAACCCGGTAGTAGATAATAAAATCAAATTAGAGGGTTGCAAATCAGCATTTAAAAAATATGAATAGGCCAACCCTGTAATGCAGTGGTTAAGCCCTGGTCATAGGGATCTAGATCCCACCTTGATGACCATAGTTTAAATCCTGGCCCCAACAGCTTGAGAAATATGCCGGGTATGTGTGTGTACATGCCTAAAATCCTGACAGACTGAAGAAATGGAGGAAAAGAGATTTCATCATGACCATGCACTGTTGGGGTTCTCTGTCTCTCTCTTTTGTGCACAAGCCCCCTAGCAATTAAATATATGTGTAGGTAGAATAGAAAAAAGTAGAGTGAAAAATATCAGTGTAATTATACGTAAGACTGTTTTGAGTAAACATTGTTTCTTAACATTTTTGTTAATATAAATAAGGATGTGTTTGTATATGTATCTGTGTATGTGGGATATTTTATTACTTACAATGTGTCATAGTCAAAAAATTTTTTTAGGGCTAGTTCTGTGGTGCAGTGGTAATACATTGCTCAAGAGAAGCCGGATCCAACGTGGTGACTATGCTTAGAATCCCACGCTAGGTTTGCCTGAAACATGCCAGACATGCACAAAAGGGCCCAAGATCTGATGAACTTGAATATTAGAAAAAGGAAATTGTGAGACCAGCAGATGGTATAGCAGTTATGTCACCCAACTCCCACTTAGCTGACCGGGGTTCGAGTCCCTAATGCCATGGCTTGAAAAATCACACTGGGTGTGCATGCATGCGTGACCAAGATCATGGGAGAATAAAGGAGAGGGGATTGTGGCGTGGACATCCCTGCTTGGGGTGATTTTTCTCACTTTCCCTTTCACTGTGATTCTCTCTCTCTCTCTCTCTCTCTCAGCAGGTGAGCACACACATCCTAAGGCAAAAACCTCTTAAAAAAGAACAAGAATGGGACCAGCAGTTAGCATAATGGCTATGTCGCTGGACTCCCACGTAGTCGACCGCGGTTCGAGTCCCGGACGCCATGTCTTAAACTCACGCTGGGCGCATGTGTGTGTGTGCCCAAGATCCCAAAAGGAGAATAGAGGAGAAGGGATTGCAGCGTGGTCGTCCCCCCTGGGGGATGATTTCTCACTTTCTATCTCTCTGTCTCTCTGGCGAGCGCACGCACCCTATAGCAAAAACCTCCAAAAACCCCCCCAAAAAAAAAAAAAAAAAAAAAAAAAAGAACAAGAATTGTGGCATGACCAAATCCTATGGAGGGTGTAACACACACACACTCTCTCTCTCATGCATATGCATGTGTTCATTCGTGAATAAAGAAAAGCATGTTTAAAAGTATTTTTAAATGTTCCAAAAGGCAATAGCAGAATGATTGATGGAGAGAAAAATATCAATGCCCTTAACTATCCAGATTTCCTCCAGTTAGCAGTCTCCAACCAGTAATGTGAGTGCAAACCAATGATGGGGATGATGGTAATGTTTTTCTTTCCCAGATCATGGAAGACACCCAGGCTATTGACTGGGACGTTGAAGAAGAGGAGGAAGCAGACCAATCCAGTGACTCCATTGGGTGTAGCCTGGAGCCTATGGGGCGACTGCATATCTTCAGCTGTCCTCATGGACCAGAAAAAGGTCAGGGGGTATTGGGTGATGTAGTATTCGTATAGGCTTTTTAATTTTTATTCTTTTAAATTTTTCAAGACAGGATCTTGCTGTCACACTCCTCTTGCCTCAGCCTACCAGCTGAGACTATAGGTGTGTGCCACCACAATTGGCTGTTTTTTTTCAGATGGAGTCTCACTAGTTTGCTTAGGCCAGCCGTAGCCTCCCATGTTGCTGCGATCCTCCCGTCCTAGCCTCCCAAGTTGCTGGGATTTCCACAGCATGCCACCACATCCAGCCTTTAGGTTCAACTGGGAATCAAGTCCAGGCCTCCTATGTGGCCCTTGGCCACCAAGCATAGAATCTTAGCAGCAGTGCTACTGTGAATAGGATTTCTGTTTGTGGGGGAGAGGAAGAGGTAGTTGGAGGATTCCAAGAACTTTTTCCATTCAAGGTGATCCGAATTTTTTTATTATTATTATTATTACTGGGAATGGAGAAGGGATTTACTGAGTTAGTTTTTCTAAGTTAGTGCCTTAGACTCACTGGGAGTAGTTGTAATTTTGAAAACAGAAGATAAAAAGATTCAAATAGGGCCCACAGGTGGTGTGGTGGTTAAGAGGCTGGACTCCCACATGGCCAACCACAGTTCTAGTCTCAGACCCACACTAGGCGTGCTTGCATGTGCACACATGCCCAAAATCCTAAGGAGAATGAAGAAGAGATTGTGGTGTGACCATCCCTTCTAGGAGGTGATTTCTCACTTCCTCCCTCTCTCTCTCTCTGGTATGTGCACACATCCTATGCCCCCCCCAAAAAAATAGATTCAAATAAAAACTCCTGGATGGTGCTGGTGATTGCACAACAACTTGAGTCTACTCAATGCCACTGAACTGTATACTTAAAACGATGAAAACTGGGACCAGATGGTGGCATAATGATTCCGTCCCTGAACTCTCATGTGGCCAACTATAGTTTGAGTCCTGGACCTGCCAGCTTGAAACTCTTGCCAGGTGTGTGTGTGTGTGTGTGTGTGTGTGTGTATGTGCCCAAAATCTAGAGAAAGGAGTGGAAAAGAATTGCAGTGTGACCATCCCCCCGGAAAGTCCTTTCTCATTTTCTGTAGGTCAGTCTCTTTAGCGAGCACACGTGCCCTATAGCAAAACAAAAAAAACCCTAGGAAAAAAAATGATGAAAACTGGGGCTGGCAGGTGGTGTGGTGGTTAGAGCACTGGACTTCCACATGGCCAACCACAGTTCGAATCTCAGACCTCGCAGCTTTCTTTCTCAGTTTCCCTCCGTCTCTCTCTGTATTTCTCTGGTTAAATTAAATAATAATAACAATAATAGGGACTGGCAGGTGACGTGGTGGTTAAGGGTACTGGACTCCCTCATGGCTGACCACAGTTTAAGTCCCAGACCTGGCAGATTGCTTCCTTACTTTCTTCTACACTCTGTCCCTCTCTGGTCAAATTAAAAATGGATAAATAAATAAAGTTAAATTAAAAAAAAATTTTTTTTTGAAGAAGTTTTTGCTATAGGGCACATGTGCTCACCAGAAAGACAGAGAGAGGCGAAGAAGAGACAGAAAGCAAGAAATCATCCCCCCAGGGGGGATGGCCATGCCGCAATCCCTTCTCCTCCATTCTCCTCTTGGGATCTTGGGCAAGCACACACACGTGCCCAGCGTGAGTTTAAGCCACCAGGTCC